TGCCACTGTGACTACCAGGTGGATCTGCACTACTTGCCATGTTTTTATAGCTTCTTCCTCGAGATCCTCCTGGATACAAAACTTTCACAGATTTATTGTTGGCCAAAGTGTTCTGCTGAAGGGATATCACAGCCTTGGCTAACAAACCTGTCAGCCTTTCGTTTTAGGAGGCCTCCCACTCCATCTGGATCCCCCTTCCTATGGCTTGCTTGCATGGTCCATTACTAAAGAAATGTACTGTCTCAACAGAAGTATAGGAGGCATTTACTTCACCCAGGATAGGGGGCATATGTGTCCAGATGGCGGGTGGGTCTTTCTGCTTTGATGCAGAAATTGTGCCAAAGCACAAGTGCTCTGCTGTCCCACCAACTTGGAGAATTCCCATGTGGAGCGTTGCTTGCTTCTGGTTTGATGCAAAGTGCATCTCCAGAATCTCTGCTGCAAGCTTGCATGAGTAGTACTTGGACATGTCTACATTAATCAAGCATTCTTGATTTGTCGTGTTTCTTTTTAATTCTCAGTAGTGGGTAAACTGGTTTCTGATGTTGAATATGTGCCATTTGAGATTCTTTAATTGGGCTTGAAACATCTCTAGCACATTTGCCAACATTGTGTCCTTTTTTCTTCTAAAGTGATTGTCATAGTTGCCTTCTGTGGTTTTATTTTCTCTGATGACTGTTTTAGTTGATGAAGTGATTTGGACATTAGCCTCCAAGTTTTTCGCTGTTGCTATGCTAAACTGTAAACTTGAACATGTAGTTCTTTGAGGATGGATTGCAGCCTGTTGATGTCTTCCAAGTCCATGCTCCTTATTAACTTAAGAGCAAGATGGAAAGGTTTTCATGAACCTTGCAAAGACAAGTCCCTCTGTCTGCAGGCATTCGATTAACTAAGGGGTACATCAGAGACTTGAATTTGGGAAACTGAGAAGTTTTCTGTGCAGGTTTCTCTGGATATCATTTAGAAACATCTTTTGTTTCTGTATTTTCCCTCTGGTGTTTGCTGTTTTCATCCCTCGTCAAGAAGGCAGTAACACATGTCTTGCAGTTGAAACATATTCCTAACTATCCTATGTCTTAAAGATCCTCCCAGTTACCACTTGGGACATTACCTGCCTGTGGGTTTTCTTTTCATTATTCTCTGCACTTCACCAGGAACAGGGAGGTTTTGATTCTGGGGATTCTGAGACCTTACTACATCTTTTTGTGTGGTTTCTTAAGTAAATCTTTTACGTTTTTGAAGTTCTCTATTGCATCTTTTTCTGTCTCACTCACCTTTGTCACAGTTATGAGCTTGTCTTGTGCTCTAAGCTTCTGCCTCTCTCTGTTACTTTAAATATGCTGACCTTCTTTCAGGATCAACATCCCACCATGCCCTGTATCTCAGCTGTTTTTCAGCTACTGACATCTGTTTAAAATCATGGTCAAATAGCTCTTTAATCCTCACTCTCTTCTGGCACATATACACACATATTTGTTTTATTGGTTTTATTTGTTTTTTTGCTTACTACTCTATCGGAAATTGTTATTGTGACCGGCTTGTTATGATGTTGTTGACTTGTGTGAAGCCCTTTGTAATGTGTTTAGAAACGTGTTCAAATAGCCGCTTTTCACTCTTTCTTGGTTTTCCATTACAAATAGGGTGATATCAGCTAAACTGAGCCATCAGGTAAAATTAGCCATTTAAGGTTTGAGCCTCCTAGCTCTTTAAATTCTAATAGCCAATGGCTGCAAATAATTTCAAATTGTTGCTACAGCTGTGCTTGATACAAAACAATTGATTTAATTGGTCTATGGTTGCTATGGTGGGCGGGGTAAAGCCTCACTTCCAGACTGCTGAGGAGAACTGTGAGGTGAGTGGCCTGGCAGACAAATCTTGCTTGAACATTATAAGGTTGATAAATCACTTAAAAACAGATGTACAGCTATAAAAAAAATTGGGTATAATGCATGTTGTGATAGCCTTCATCAGATATAATGCCAAATTTTTGCTTAGCTAAATTATTTTTTTATGAAAAACACATTTTTTTGGGGTGGCTCAATTTACTTTAATGTACTGAGGTAAATTGAGCCATGCATTTCAGCTAAAATGAGCCACCTTCAGAGTTAGTTTTAGTAAATATTTTGATGGTTCCTCTTATTAAACAGTATTAATATATGACTATATGAATATGTTACAGCATATATTCCACGCCTCTTCACATTTCCTTTCTATTTATCCCTCCTGAATTTCCCTTCAAGGATTAATAAAATACATCTATTCTATTCTATTCTATTCTATTCAGGTCCAATGTGTGTGTGTGTGTGTGTGTTTTAGCTTTGGTGCAGGCTGCATTGTGAAATACACACACACACACACACACACACACACACACACACACTCACCTAGAAGTAATAGGCTAGTGGTAGCTTGTATGTATGTATGTAACATGTGTATATAAATAACATGAAAGTGTGATATGGCCAGATTATGGCAAACAAGAAAGAACAGTGAGGAGAGGAGAGGAGGAAACAGGAAGAGAGACAAAAGGAGAGGGGGAGAAAGGAATGGAGAGGAGACAAGAGAGAGGAGAGGAGAGATTTCACTTACATTTTAATGTCATTATTCATGAATTGTTGTATGTAATGTAATGTTATATTGTGTCTTTATAAAGTTGTTTTATCCTAAATGACTCTGTTTTGCTTTGCAGTTTCAGTGACTCATTTTAGCTGAACACTGATTATCTCAAAAATGTGGGACAGCTGATGTTTCAAAAGCTGAAAGACCTAAACGATTATATTTTATTACATTAATTCAACACAAAAATATTTTTAAAAACAGTCCTTATTAACTATAAAAACACAATCCAGTGTCATACATTGCTTTTTCTTAGTTTCGTAAGCAATTAACCAAAAAGTGGCTCAATTTAGCTGATATCACCCTAGTACCAGGTACCAGGAAATTGTTTTGGTACACACCTTGGTCGTGGTCCCGAGCGAGCTGAGCTGATACTAAAAGGTGACGTGAAAACACTGCAGACAACTGATCGGTCACACGACATTGGCGATCCTGCACAAAACCTTGCATTTTGAAATAGCCAAGGTACCATCAAAAGCAACCACAAATTATTTTTTACCCCTCAAAACTGGCAGCCTGCAAAACCACGCCACGGTCAACTGACCAAGTACAGACGAATAAAGACCATACTCCCTTCAAGTCCTTTGTTATAAGTCTGTCATAGTCTGGCAATTGTGGAACGCTTTGGCAAAAGGGCATGCAGACATTTTAGCGTGCTCTAGATATGCCCAGGCGGTTACAAAAAGGCTACATGGAGCTCATTGACCCAGTGAGTTTCAGTTCGAGGAAATATATTTACAGTCTCGCCCACACAGAGCTATTGTGTTAACACCAAAAGAGGTTTTCAGAACGTGAGCTCTGTAATGAGTTTGGTTGATTTGGAACATTTTTCCAAGATTAAGTTAATGCTCTCAGAACAGCCGTTAAAAAACATTGAAACCAGTCTTTGAAATTGAAAGAAATGCTGCTTTCTTTGATAGGAAATAAATACAGGCTGACTTCACACCGTCTTTATATGACTGTAGGAAAGACCTTGGTTCTTACAGTCCCACCACAAGGTGAGACGTGTGTGATGAAGACCACAAGCAGAGATGCATTGAACTTTTCAGACAATGTCCCTTCTCCATGCACCTTGAAAGCAGGTAAAGTTGTGCCAGACATCCTCACTCTCTTTGTATAGACGCTGGTTAGTCCGATGGCGGGCAGTACACATGAGTGGTGAGGCTTGTAAAGCGAGACGGGGCTAGCAGCAGCTACACGAGGGCCATTCAGCAGAGTGGCGTCTATCCACTGACTCTGTGGGTACGTTCAACCTTTAAACCAGCGTCACACAAGAATCACTGAATCTATTTCTCAGTTGAAAATTGGTATTTTTCTGTAAATTTGAGCTTAAAACTCACGTGACAGTTCGGAAGGAATGTTGTTCAACAGCCCGTAATCTGTTATTATAAATGTCTCCGCTGTCTTAGTCAAGGATTTTCTCATGACCTGCATATTTCATACGGCACCATGACTCAGCAAAACATTCCTCAGACTATGGGAATGCTCCAGAAGTCTATAAATAGTGAGCATTGTGTCTTATTAAAGGGCCCATGGGGCTCTTATCGTCTGAGGTGACCTCAAACACAGATCTGCCGATGTTGCACTCTGATATCATAAAAAGTGTGCATTTCATTAAGCGTGACAGTGATTTACTCTTGTTAATGGAGCGACTGCAGCCAGATTATGTCTCTAATTTACATCAAGGAGGGATCTGAAAACGTTTTTTATATAATGATAAAGGGTTATTTTTCTCCCTGTAACTCTTAACATTTGTTATCAACACTTCAAAGCTGTGTGTTACGGGCCAGTGAGCCAGATTCGCATATGTTTCAAATCGTCACAATATTTCCTGTCCAATAAAAAAATGAAGGTGCTATTTATTGGATACCAGGATTGGTTGAGAACGAGTAGGGCCTAATAAAAATTACCCGGTGGTCTGTTGATATTATCAACAAAATGCCTTACTTGTTAAGCAGAATGGGCCGTTTTCTGAGTGTTACAGTTTATTATTATATTGGATTATTGGATAGTTGTTCTAAATCTGAATGTATCATTCGTTTTCACAAATACAACAATCGCCGTTAGATTTCATGGTGAAATATTAATGCAATATAATATATAAGTATATATATATAATGATAAGTCAGTCTGAAATGTAGCCGAGGAAGCAACAAAAAAGTAACTATTCAATAAAGTAATCAAAACTGTAAAATACTTAAGTACTTCTGCCTCATTTTAATAAAGATTAAAATATACATTTTCCTCAAAAAGCTTCAAGAATGCATCCAAACCAGTAAACAATGATCTCAATATCTGCAGCATCTCATAAATCTATCTAATCCGCAGTTTTTAAAACATATTCAAAACTATTTTAAAAATTATTTGCAGGCACTAGTCGGCCACCGCCGGCGACGTCACACAGGACCCCGTCCGTTCAACATGGCGACCGCTGGCAGGAAGTCGGTGTTGTTCGTGTGTTTGGGTAAGAAACCTGATTTAACCTCACAAACGAGGCTCATACGAAGCTAAAAGAGTGTGGGCCGAATAAAAACAAACACAACACACGACCAGCAAATGAATTTACACATTTTAAGTCGTTTATTTCGACGTCGTTGGTCCATTTAACCGCGTTACAGGAAGTGTCCCCCCGCTAACGTTACAGCGCTCGGCTCAATGAATGAGAGGGAAATCTTTAAAAACGTCTTTAAAACATTTAAAAACGTGTTAAAAACATTATTCTTTGGTGTTTTTTGTTGTTTTTTTTTGTGTGTAGTTGGTAAAACACAAGTGATAAAGTTAAAGCGGTTCCTAAAGTTGTGTTAATTAAAGTCTGTTTGTGGTTGTGAACAGGGAATATATGCAGATCCCCCATTGCTGAAGCAGTCTTCATGAAGATGGCAACAGATGCTGGCGTGATCGATAAGGTAATCGATCATTATTACATCGTATTACATGTTTTTTTTTTTTTTTATGTACAAAGAGATCTTTCCTTTGGAAGTTTGTCCTTGGACACAAATGTCAAATTAGGAGCAGAAGTTAAGTATCAAACAAATGGAAACACTTAAATTACCAAACCAGTTTTGCACTTTGTTATGTTATTTATATTTTATTAAAGGAGCTGTGGGAAGGATTTTATAGCATCCAGAGGTGTAGTTGCAGTCCGAAAATGTTAAACACACTGGACCTTTTTAAATATTAGTGGGAAATTAATAGTTACTGGTGGCAGATTAATAGTTTAGAGTCGGGTAAAAATCACAAAATGAATATTAAAACACCTGGTTACTGACAGTATGACGATATTCAGGCATTAAGTACTGGTGGGTGGTTCGCTGCTGTGGTTGAAAATGTTTACACTGATATTAGTAATAGGTAATCATCATCAGACCTACCAATACACCTGCCTCGTGCCTGTATGTGAGCGTATGAATCATTTTTTGCTGTGTCATTGTTCCCCCGTGCTCTGCTCTGCCTAGTGGAGGATAGACAGTGCTGCCACCTCCACCTATGAGATAGGAAGCTCTCCCGACCACCGCGGTCAAGCCTGTATGAAGAGGCACGACGTGCCGATGAGTCATGTGGCCAGGCAGGTACGACCACTCACCTCTATGCCTCTCTTAGTTGTAGTTAGCGTCCCCTTTTTTCTTCTCTGTTGTTGCAGTGGGTCATAGACAGTGGAGCCACGTCCGACTGGAATATAGGCAGCTTACCGGACGCCCGTGGTCTGGCCTGCCTAAGGATTCATGGCATTGAGACGGACCACAGGGCCCGACAGGTACAACCAGATGTCCCAGGGCTCCTCTCGCTTCATTGGTGTCTGTGTGTATGAGTGTGATGTTGTTAAAACGGTGCCCTTTACACACCAATGTGCTATTTATTTTTTGCTCTGTCACTTATTGTATTGTAGTTTCTTTCCAGTTTAATACAGGTTCAAATACATTTCTACTTTAACCTGCAGCTGCTTTCTAATTTCCATGTGATGGAGCTCTGTCAAAACAAACACATGTTCATCTGAACTGCAGCTGAACTAGATGTAAAGTCCGGCCAACATTGATGATGATCCAGGGGAAATATGCCCCAAGCGTGTGTAATCATGATTGATGTTCAGTTTTGCAAATAGAAAATTAGTTAAGATTTCTCAATGCCAATTTTTCCTGCTTAGCCCTCTGTTTCATTCAAGATCAAGCACACTCTACTTGAACACACCCCCATCACAAATAAGAAAAAAAACAAACTTGATCCTTTTGTAATGAACCCTGTAGAATGGGAACGGAAACAATTGTAAGTGTAATGAAATTATTGTATACATAGTTTATTATTTGCATTTAGTGTTAACCATTTTTTTAACTACTTGAGAAAAGTCAGACAAAAACCATTACATGGTCATTGATGGGCTATTTGCACTTTTTCACACACAAACAATTTTGTGTAGCATAAAAGTGTTTTTCCGCTCTCCTAACCTGTTAATTGTCCTGTTAAAACTCCTTAGATTTAACTTGCAACTGTTTTGGGGTCACAAGAGGTCCTAACCCCCATGTCGGGAACCACTGGTCTAAAATAAAATAAACATGCATTATGGACTAATATACACTTACAATAATATTCTATGTAGAACTTAAATGTGTCTCTTTGCACATGACTTGCTCTTGAATTCACATTTTAAATGTACTTGTAATAGAGTTTTATAATGAAACATATGAGCTTGTATTGAAATTATATGGACATTAGAAATGCCCTTTTAAACAGAGTTATACTTTACTCTTCAGTATGCAGCAGGTTTAGCTTAAAGCTCAGATACAGTGACCTCTTGTGACAGTTAAGTGAACTCTACAGGACACAGCAGCTGGTTCTGCTTCTCCTTGAGTAGTTAAAAACTGGCTCCGTTTTACACCAAGTAACAAAGTAATTTTTAGACATCGGTGTTATTATCTTGGAAATATCTTTCACGTGTGTTTGATTGTCTGTGAAAGTCGTGAGGAACCTGTTGGTCAGTCCTGTGTCTTTACTGCTGTGCAAACTGAGGATACCCGCGGTGTGTATGAAATATTGAATCTAGCGATCATTGTATCACCTCACAGCATGTGTTTCAAATCCTGAAACAGGCTTGAAATTACACCAAGATGTTTGTCCATGTAGGGCCTTCAGGCCTTACGCTGTGTTGGCTTATCCTCAGTGCAACTCCTACTCCCCTGTGCCCTTAAAATACTCTTTTTATGTTTCCCTGAGAGAACTCTAGGGTCTTTCACCCTGTACTTGAGATCTGCCGTTCTGTTGGTTTGTTTCTCTGCAAACTGTTCAGTCAGACCCTCGTCTAATCTCTTCAAAGCGCGGATGGGGGGTTCAATCCTTGGCTTAAACCCAGCCACATCCACACAATGAGCTTTGACAAGCTTTTGCTCTTTCCTCTTTTCTTTTATCACCCTTTTTATTTCTAATACAGCCGTTTTGCTCCCACCCTATATGTTTTTTTTCTCCCCCCACATTTTTATTTTACTCGTTGAACTTTGCTGAACTTCTGCCGCGGCCAGTATCCTTGCAGACTGGCCAAGTGGGAGATGTCTTTGGAGACCATGGTATCCCCACATAAACAAGCATAAGCATTTGCTTAGTAAAGCAAACATGCTCCAAAGTGATCCATAACAAATTATGTGGAGTATTTAGTACCTTATCAGAAATTGCCAAAGAGACATTTGATTTAAGAGAGCTGAAATTTTAATGTCATATTCGTCAATATGTTATCATTGAGTCAACATTTACATGGAGGAGTTGCCAACACTTAAACTAAGACACTATCCAGAGACAGCCGAGTGTTTCTCTTTGGGCTGTCGAATTGGTCATTTGATGTCATATACGGTAGAAATGTAGTACTTCTGATTTTCGACTCAGCTCTTTCATAGTATAGTATATTACATTGCATTATATTATCCAACGTACAGTTTCTTTCAACAGTTATAACTATGAACATAATTTATGTCATTACAACCAGCCTTCACTTATGAATTCCCACAGTAGGAGTTATACTCATTGACAAATATATTAATTAACAATTATATAACTTCTTCCAACGACATTATAGAGTATAATAAACCATTTATTAAATGTTTATGTACCGTTTATATACACTAGGTAGGGGGACGTACAGTAAAGTGTTTCCAAATATATTCAAGAACAGTTTATTATTGGGTAAATGGGCTTTTTTCACAGTAGACATTTGGACTTGTCATTGGAGGAAAAGCACAGGTGTTACTAATAACAATTATGATGGCTTTGTTATAATAAAGTATCCCATCATGCACAATACCAGGACCCTGAAACTAAAGCAGCTAAATTGAATTCAACCATTTGTTTTTCACCTGTGTTTCCTACTGTGATATGTCAAAATGTCTAAAAAGGTCTATTACTGATTATTTTCACACAATTTTTACGATATCTCTTCACGTCTTCTCTGGGTTTTATCATCTTCTGAACTTGCTGAACTATGCCATGTGTGTCTCCCTGCTCATTCCTCATTTACAGTAACAGCCTCCCAGCTCACTCGCAGCCAGATATTTCAAAAATCAAACCGAGGTCTGTGTCAGCCTTGTGAGAGGGCTCGCATGAGTCTTTTTTTTTGACAGGGGATTACCACTGTTTCAGCTAAGAGTGTGAGAGCGCGAGGTAGACAGGAGCAGAGAGATCAACAGCCGCTGTGATTATAACCGCCACAGATTACCACCCTGTGTGTGAGAGAGGGTGTGAGAGTGTTCAAATGGAAAATAAAGTGATCAGACCCTCACGGCTACAACCAGACACTCTGGTGATACAAACATGAATTCAAAACAGTCATAATAAACGTGTGTTAATTCCTCTGCTGTTACATGAATGGCCACAGCTGTCTCTGTGATTGAATGTGTGTCTATATCTCAACATCTGGCGCATTGCAGGAGTTTTATTCATGTCTTGTTCTTTTGTTCCTCTCTTCTTTCATTTGCCTCTTGCTGCCCTCGCCTCCTGCTTGACTCTCTCAAAACCCTTCAAAACTATTCAGGGTGCTGCCTGTTTTTTATTGCTGCTTGTTCCATTAAATCATCACTAAGCACAGTGAATACTTTGCACAACACCCCTCCACATGCTTACAGATGTGCAGCTTAGATCCCTTCCATAACCCAGTTTTCAGTGAGTACATAATCATGGTAAAGTGGTTATCCTTAAAGCCCCTAGAAGGGACTTTCATTTTTTTGTTGATTCTGGCGGCCCCTGTGGAGCAAAGTGGGAACGTTTCTCCTGCCTCGTCTCATTAAATTTAAAGGGAATCCGACTGAATCCAACCAGGTCGCAGTCATTATAAATAACCACACAAAAATAGCCAATCTTTGTTTGACTGTTTTTAACTGTAACCACATAAAAATCCTTTGTCGTACATATACGATTTCAGCCCTGGTTGATTTGGAAACACTCATGGTTACTGTGTTAATATCAAACGTGGTTTAATACAACATCAGAAACTCCTTGAAACTACTGCTGTCAAAAATGCAGGTGTATCTGTTTAGAGTGCAAGCTTATAACAAATAAGTCTGATGTCATGCTGCACACGGAGCTGGAAGTCACAAGACAGCAAAGCCAAGTAAAATTATCTTGCTGTGGAGATGGAGGTGTGTCACCTGCAACTCTTCATCTAATGCCTCACTATTACCCCATATTGTGTCATTACTCCCTTGCAAAACCTGAAAATGATTTGCTTGCAAAAAGAAAAGCTGAAAATGATTTCTGGATTTTGATGATGGATGTCAGAGCTATCCTATAGTTTGTGCTTCCTGTAACTGCTTCACAATAAAAGCCCCTGTGAACTTTTCTTGTAAACAAACAGAAGTTATGTTTGCATCGTATGCATCATTTCCTGCGGTTCCCCCCATGCATGTGAAGGCTTTTGGAAATTAGTGCAGGAATGTCGGACTCCACCACTAACAACGTAACTTGTATGTAGCGAGATAAATACAGAATGCCTATACATTAGCTATTATTGAGTAAATGCTGACAGTATCAAAAACATTTCATGTAATTTATAGTATCATTGTTTGATTGCATGGAAATCTTTGAGAATTATCACTTGACTGTATTGGAACTGATTGATTTTTAATGCATAAGATTGAACCCTCTCTTAAGGACCAGAAAGAGGCTCTGCCGGCCGTACTGTGTTTCCACACAGAGCCAAAAGTAATATTTGTTTTGTCCTGCATTTCTTCCCCACTTCCAGGTGACCAGAGAAGATTTCATGAACTTTGAGTACATTCTCTGCATGGATGAGAACAACTTGAGGTACAGTTGTTCCAGCCCACAGCAGCAGTGTTTATTATTTCTGTAAATGTGGATCGCAGTTGGACACACAGTCACTGAAAACACTAGTGTCATGTGTTAAGTGTCCTGTATTACTTATTACCGGTTGCCTGGGATAAAAAAAATATTTGCCTTGAAAGGGGTCAACCTAGGCTGTCCTGCCAACTGTCAGCGATCTGTGCTACTTCACATGAATATGAAAATGGTGGTAACATTGAGCTATAACTAACTTGTAGGTGAATGCCTTCCTTTAATGAGCAATATCCTTTCTTAAGCTCTTTCCAAAGGTCAGGGGGAGGGATATTTTTTGATACTTTGAACGTTTAGGGATCATTTTGAGATCACATGCCTATGGCAGATCTGATCTGTAAGCAGCTTACTGAGTTCTTTGGATGCCTCGTCTTTGCTCTTTGGGCAGTTTTTCCCTCCCCTTTCTCTCCCACATTATTTTTTTCTCCGCAGCCGCTAAGCTGACGAGACTGAGAAAAAGTTGACAAAATGTCTAGTTTAGGTTTCCTTTAACAGAACCCATCTCATTGTTGTCAGCTTGAATGTATTTATTAATCATTGACCTTCTGTTTGAGTTTGGATTTTGTTACTTTAGTTTGAGATTGACCTAAAACAGGTTGAGATGTAATTTTCATTTTCTGTGCTCTTAAAGCATCCAAATCAAGCTTGTTTGTTAGCGTTTGGGAGGAAGTTAATCACATGGATCTGATTTTTTTTTTAGGGGTGGTTATTCTGTCCATTATTAGAAGTATTTCAAAATTGCATATAGGAGAAGATAAATGTTCCACCTCTTCCAAATGGCAAAAAATACTGTATAACATCTAAAAAGAGGCTTTTTATTCTGGTCCGTTTTCTTGTTTTTTCTCCTGGATTTACATGTTTTCTCTTTTCTTCACAGTGAGTTGAACAGGAAAGCAAAGTTGGTGAAAGGCTACAAGGCAAAGATTGAGCTTCTTGGTTCGTATGACCCTGAGAAGCAGCGCATCATCAAAGACCCGTATTATGTAAGTATTTAAGTACATTTTCAGGTATTTTAAAGCATAACTCAGAAGATTCCTCACTGTTCAATTCCAGCCAGCTGTTCATCATTAAATTTAATGTGAAGTGTAAATTAATTTGCCAAAAGGATAAGTAATTCATGCAACATGCTTTTATTCTTACGACAGCTCTACTGGGGGGTTGGTGGTGAAAAAAACAGACATCATAGAGGACGGGGGAAGGGTGCGATATCGTTTAAATATGGGCTTAACAAAGCACATTTTCAGTCAGACAGTCTCTCCTGGAAGATATTCATTGTGTTGCGCCCAGTTGTTCACATGAAAAGTAACAGATATAGTGCAAGTTAACATTGACTGCCACTTCAAATAAATGCTTACAAACCAAATGATGTCAATCTGTTGTGGGAATGTGCTAATCATCTGCACGAGTGAAAACTGTTGAAATGAATGAAATGATTTTTCTTCTTGATCAGGACTGTGTGCGTTTGGTTTGATCAGATTGACAGTGGCCTGGCAACATAAGCAAACAAACCCACAACAGTTATTAGGTTTTGAGTTCCTTCCACTTCAAACCGTGGAAAAGAACACAGACAAGAAATACAGAAAACCTCTCATGTAAATAAACCAAAATAGTCCGAAATTTGGCAGAAAGGTTGTGTTCATCCACAGTCCCGTCGTACATAGTGGGAAGCTGATTGTGAAAATAGGTTTTTAGGCCCTTTAAAACTGTTAGTTGGTGCATTTTCCTCTTCTTGCAATGGCTGTGCACCTGTTCAAAATCCTAATGATCATGTGATATACAGTACAGACCAACAGACAGTATGCGCAGACCAAAATGCCTCTAGATGCAATGGGATAGACCTGCAACTAAGTCAATTAAACTTAACAAATCCAGCTGGAAGTACAACTAACAACATTTTCTTATCTACAAAAGCGCAGCCATTCTCCATTTAGAGAAAATACACTGTCCAGTTTGTTTAATACTGATGTGGAACAGAAACAGTTGCAGATCAACGGCAGCCATCTTGGTTGTTTACAAAAATGCCTCAATAAGGTTGTACTCCTCTGTGCAGTCATCGTATTAAACCCCCGCTCCATATTAGATAAATGGTTGCCATTCGCCCAACCAGTTCCAGGACTGGTGGAAATCTGTCCGACTGGGAGGGGGAGCCGACTCATCTGCCAAAGCAAATAAAACATGAGCTTGCGGATTCGTCTGGTTCTCAGTCTAGATGCATGTGGTTGCTCTGAAGAGGATTTACTCTCCACAGGGGAAGATGGGTCCATGTCCAGGCACATTTCATGAAATAAACAGCACCAAAGCAAAACTACAACAGTGCAACACTCGGTTCCTTGATCGCTCAATTTGAATAAAAGCTTAAATTCTACCCCTAAAAATTTTAATTACTTTACAACTGTTTGATTGCTTGGATATAACTGTTAGTCTTAGTTCTGTTTCCATATTGCTTCGTCTTTTCACGCTCCCTGGCTCACTCATCCGTTTCGCCGTTTTACGTGCTTTCTCTGCAGTTGAAAGTCCTGCCAAATGATTTGGACACGGGTCCGTGGCTGCTTTCTATCTTCTTGACGGTTATGAGTGGGGAAAAAGGCAAAGTGAAGGGCGAGCAATGGTTGGGGAAAGATTTGACAGTTTTATTAGTGATGATGATGATGATGATGATGTCAATATACATTAAAGAAATCTTTGGACGCTCAAATCGTTTGTGCTTCCATAATGTATTTAAGCTTGAAAAGTAACATTCCCTGTGTGGTCTTGATGGATGATGTGCAACTAAAACTCTGTTGGCAAAATGATAATGTGTTTGTGCCCATCTGCAGTGCTGTATTACATTGTGTGGAACCGGGATCCCAAGATAAAACAGTCATCAAATCATAAGTGATGTGGCTGGAAGAAGAGGTTGTGGTTGACCACAGTTTATGTGACTGTAGTCAGTTATATTAGTTTGTCACAGATCTTGGCTTTGAAGACCACTTTTTCTTTTTTATGATGCGAGTGCATGAGTTTGTCTTCTTGTAGCTTTTTTCTTGCCAAAAGAAGGAGTAAATGAATGCTTTTTTCAGTCTGTGCGGTTTGGACACTTGACAGTATTGGATTGTGCTCCCTCGCAAGAAACCACATGGCATGACAGCAATGTGAGCCAAGAGGAACCAGATCGTCACTGTCAATGTGTCTTGATAAATGGAGACATACGTCTTGTTGTCTTGTCTTCAGTGAGATTATAATGACAAACTCACAGAGGCACCAGAGTACATTTCTTGTCTTTGGCATTTTTGTGTCATGTGTTTGTTATTTTATGAACACAGTGAGAGTTTACATTCATAATTTTACCGGTAAATATGTTTAGCTTATTTGCTTTAAATTATAATTATTAGGTAAATGTTGATTCCACAGTGTAATGGCTATAGAATAATGAGACCATCCGCGTTAACACTGGTTCCCTATAAGCCTCGCTTTCACTATGCGGTTCTGCCACCGGGCTATTTCCTGGGAAAATGAAGGCTTGATTTACAAGAGTGATATATAGAAATAGACTAAATTAAGAAACAAACTTGCACTTTTTTTCTCCTAGTGTTTTCATCTAACATTGACGTTACTCCCCCCTCCACCCTGACACCAACCCGTGCTGTCATTACCTGTTTGTTGTAGTAAGCAATAACTCAAATTATGTCATTACTCTGCATCAACCTTTTAGCCTCTTCTTCTCTTCAGCTAACATGCTTCTTCTCTCATATTTCCAAACTAAAGTAATGTTTTTTCATGACGTTCTGATAAAAAACTGAAAGTGATCGGTTAACTTTGCGATAGCGGCGCAAACATTAAAACCTCTTGGAAAGGCTAGTGGGGGCGAAAGTTGAAAAGTTGTCTGTTTCCACTTTGTAGAGATGAGAACATCTTTCGTAACAGAATTCCAGTTCCTTATCATGGCTGTCCCTAAGATAACTCCAGATCAGTTAACTCAATGATAAAACTTATCGGCCTTGCCCACTCTGCATTAATAGCACCACCCCACCGGGCGTGGGTTGTTGTTTTATGCCAGCAGTATATTCAAGGTGGATGACTTTTAAGGACTTTGATGATCCCCTGACTTTTCCTCTAGCGGCAGCATGATGTTGACATTTTTGGTTGCGATATATCTCGACAGCTATTGGATAGATTGCTGTGGAATTTGGTTCAGACATTCACGGTCCACAGAGGATGAAATGTATTAAAGATCCAGTGTGTAACATTTTGGAAGGTCTTTTGGCAGACATGGAATATGATCAAGTCATAGGTATGTTTTCATTAGCGTTTAATCACCTGAAATTAAGAATTGTTGTATTTTAATTTAATGAGCCGTTTTTGTTTTATGATTTAATTTATAGGATTAATAGGTAATGGGAATAATCCTTAACTGCACCCTTCACTGTGTTGTGTGTTTAAAAATCTTTTTGATTCATACTGTGAACATTAACATTTGTTTTATTACTGACCTACAACTGTGGTTTTTCCTATTTTCTGTCCAATGCCTCAGTTCACTTCTCTTTAAATCTAGATTCTCTATGGTTAGAAAGGATTTCCCATAAAAGTCTATTAGGGTTTCAGCACCATCAGAACCAGAATTTTCTACCTTTGGCAGTATATTTCTCCCTTTGGCAGTAAATTTCTCCCTTAGGACGTGCTATTTTACAGCTGAAGCCAGTTGGCAGTCTGGGATCTGTTTCCTTCACAACTCAACAATTTGGTGCTCAGAAAGTGGACTTGAAAATAATTTATCGGTTGAATAAGAAACACATTTGATTGTGTTTTTTTTTCAAACCACATCACAGAACTGGTCCTACATATCTACAGCTGTATTGGACCGGTTTATTTCCTTTCTGAACCACTAGTTTAAAAAAAAAAGTCAAACAGATGTATGTGATTCAGCTCTCAGCACTTGGCTGAAATGAATTTTAATTTCTTTTTTTTTATGTTTTATCTCTTAGGGGAGTGACGAAGACTTTGAGAAGGTGTATGATCAGTGCGTACGCTGCTGCAAAGCCTTTCTGGAGGTGAACTCCTAACAACAGTCCGACCATAAACCATCTTTGATGACTCTTTCGGCTGAACAACAATAATCAACCTAAATATACTTTGTCTGTATCACACAAGCACTCGTCAGTATAACCCTCATCTGTGGATCTCACTGAAAGAACCAGAGCATTTTGGTTCAGTGTTGTAAATGTTATACAAACCACACATTGTGTACGTTTAGAAAAGACGCTGCGTGGACAAGTTTGTCCACTGTAAATTCAGGTGATTAATAAAATGAATAAATGAGTATGAGTATTTGGGATTTATTTTTACACACAATTCATTCATCTTTACATTTTAAATATACTGAAGAATGTATAGGAATGAAGGTATCCTGCAGACAATAATACATGTCTGGACATCTCTGAGGTTCAGGTCAAAGGCCAACACCGGGGTCGGAGTTAATGCTAGCCTCAACACTAAGCTTCCTTTGTATTTCTTTGGGACGAGTGGTGGTTAGGTTATTTTCTTGGCTCTTCTTTTGGTTGTGTTTTGGTATACAGCACCTTTTATCTGACCTATTAACACAAGATCATTCTCACAAATATTAGATATCGAACATATTTAATGGATGCCTAAAAACAAATGAGCAAACCATCTGTTGTCACTCGCTAAAGTTATTCTGCTATGTGTCAATCACCACTTAATGCTTAAATAGTGGTAATCCCATGAAGGAGGTCTCATCAGTGCCAATACAAATTGGCATTCAGTGTGATTGTCTTGCACATGGAAGAGTTGACATTGAGAAGAGGCTGTTACCTAATTAACAAGCGTGGAGCCAAAGGTTAGATTAACCAACTGGTGACTGCAGGGTTTCCAATTGTTTAAGAATTGTTAAAGTAGCAAGGGCCTTAACTGTGAAGGATACATAGATAACAAGATTGATATCTCACTCATGTCTGTACCCTAAATGTGAAGCTACATTTCCAAGCCGGGTAGGTTATCTTAAAGACTGAAAGCAGGGGGAAGCCACTAGTCAGGCTCTGTCTGAGGAGGTAACTAAATCCACCCACCAGCACCTCTAAAGCTAAAGAGGGGAAAGGTTGAACCCTCGTAAAACGTTGTAGTGTAGTTTTACACAAGATATAAAATGTTAATTTGCACTTTTGTTACTCTTGGACAGAAGCAGGCTGGCAGTTTCCCCTGTTCCCAGTCTTTGTGCTAATCTGAGCTATCCTGCAGTTTGCTTTAGCTTCTTATTTGAAGATAAGAGACTGACATTGATGTTCTCACCTGTCTGCAAGAAAAAAAGGTCCTCCGAGCAGTGCAGATGTTGTTTAACAAAGCTTCATCTACAGTAGTCTGGTGTCAGCTTTAAAGAATGGTGTGTAAGACATTCAACGCCTCTTACTGGGGAAATAAACAGCTGAATTAGGTTATAAAAACTTCAAATTAGGGCGTCCTGGTTGCCTAGTAGCTGACAATGCTATACTGGCATCGCCAGTTCAAGTCCACCTGGGGACTTTTGTTGCCTTCATCCCTTTTCTTCCTAATTTCCCATCTCTGCTGTCACTGTCACATAAAGGCAAAAATACACCCCAAAAGGGGAGATGTAGTAAACGGTCGGTCCACTCAAGTGACAAAGAATAACGCCTCACTTTGCCCATGATTCAGTGCTCCCTTTACATAAGATAATCCACAATATGTTGTCAACAAGTTTCATAAGAACTATTTTTTGTTACAAAGTAGCTCCAGTGTGAGGACTGTGTGCAGTAATCAGGACATTGTGGAGTTTTGAAATGTCACTTTTCTTCCTTTTTAAATGATTTTTGTGGCATTTGTTTTCAAGAAAGAGTCCACTGCCAGAATCAAACTGGGAACTTCACTGTTACATGGTATGTGTAAGAAACTGGTCAACCCCCAGGGACCCCCCCCAAAAAAAAAAAAGATATTTTTTTTAATGCCAGGAGCGAAACAAATTAAATCCCATTCACCTCCATTGTTTTGGTCTGGAAATAATCAACTTCAAATTCATCTAAAAGTAAAAATGCTGACTCAGAGTCTGTTAAATGTTCACATAAAAAGGATTCTGTTTCAAACAAAACACAGTGCAGTCTCTATCGTGGGTTCAGTTTACCAAATCTGTGGTCCTGGGACTCGGTTCAGTCATGTGGTCATTCAGCAAGCATACCACGTTTCAAGGAATGTAAGAGGAAAATACTACATGAGACAACAAAGACCATTCATATTTGTACCAATCTTATAATTTATTTAAATATATTTCATTTTATATATATATATATATTTATGTATGTATTTAACAGCCATTTGATAAATGCCAGTTACTTTAATTTATGGTAGGTAGGTGGATTCCTCTTATGCTTTGCTTTACAGTATGTACATATTTCTCTTGTTTTATGTGGTTATGGCCGATAGTGTGTACAGTGGAACTCAAATATATAAATATAGACTGTACCACGCTCTGCCAAGATCCACAGGAGGGCTGTGACTTACAACCGCCACTTTTTTTTTTTTTAACATGTCTTGCAAAGACGCGGAGAAATGTTCATGCAATGAATAATTTAATCACAGTTCCTTCTCAGTGTGAGCACAAGTGAGTGAAACTATGCTGTGACTGCCGGCCACGGGGTCTGTGGGAGCTTTTTGTCTGCATAATGGGGTAGTGCAGTAGTAGGGATGGGCTCAACCCAAAAACACTTGCAGAAAAGCAAGTCATGCTATAAACAGTACATTTGGATTTTGCTCTTTTCTTCAAGAAATGACCAAAATAAAAATATGCAATCCCTTTTTTTTTTGGTTTGTTTTAGCAACATCTTTTTGGATCCCAGCAGGAAAAAAAGGCCCCATGTTTGTTTCTCTCAGCCACTTGTTTCTTTTTTTTCTTCTCCACTCTTCAGTGTCACCATCTTTATCTTGGTCTGGTTTTGTTGGTCGCTCCCTCGTGGTGACAGCCAACCATCGAGGGCCCAGCCAGAGAGGTGGGTGGCAGTAATCCACGCCTTAGCACAGAACAGACCTCACTGAAAGGCAGTACCGTGCCTAATATCAGTTGGGGCTGGTCAGAGTATTTTAGGCTTCCCTCTTACTGTCCAAGGCAGTTTTTTTTTCCCAAGTTTTTTTCTTCTGGAGAACTTGTGTTTGGCTTCAACCTGCAACAAAGAGGAAGTGGAATTCAGCACAGTCTCAAACTTGGCAGCACCTGACAAATGCTTTCCTTTCCAAAAAGAAATCGCGAACAATGAATCAATAAACTTGATTTGCCACAGATCTGCTGCTCTCTACATGTATCAAACACAGCACGCATATCACCACTGTGAACGGTTGTCTGCGTCAGACAAGAAGACATGGTCTTCACACTGTGAGATTATTCTCTTTGTCTGTTGCGGCGGTGGAAAAAAGTATTCAGATCTTACACTTCAGTAGCAATACCACAAAATAAGGAGGTTAAAGTCAATCATTTGTAAGAAGCATGTTAATGCTGTGGCTGGTCATGTTAATGTTATACTGTTGGGTAGTTTAATTTGTAATAGTAATAATGTTTAATCTTAATCTGCAAGTAACTATAACAATATTCCATCTAAAATGTAGTACAGTAGAAGTATAAAGTAAATAAATAACATCGAAACACTGAAGTAAAGAGCAGCACAAGTACCCCAGTGAGTACTATATTTTACTTTCCACCCCTCCTCTGGTGCATCACGTATAGTAGTAAATCCCAGTTGTGATGTATTTGAGAAATTGCACATTCTTTTTTTAATGTGACTAAATTTGAGAGGGATGTCTGATCTATACCATAGTTACTTAAAAAAACATATGATGAGTCAATAAAATATAATGAATTGTTATAAACAACCAAACAGTATATAAAGTAGTTAATTTGCCTCACCAGCTTCAACAGTAAATGCTGACACATTAATGCATCAGTAATACGTACAACACTCACATATTCTATTACTTGTAAATATTGCAGACGTGCACTTTATGATAAAAGCATGCTGTTTTTTGCATGTGGTATAAATGTGTTAATTTCCACTAGTGCATTTGAATATTGCTGCATATTGGAGTCCATAAACAATAATTGGAATATTGGACTGCTTAACAAGTACAATGCACAAGCCCTTTGACCATAAGTCCTGTGTGCATCTCCTCTCTTTAAACTTAAACTCTTGTGTTTGAATTAGAAGTGAATGCATTACTGTACCTTGAGCGTGCTACCCCACTGTGCACTGCGGGCTGCCGGCTAGTCGTGTCAGAAGCCGTGCACATCTTTTGAAGTCTGAGATGAGAAAAATGAAACGGAGAGATTTGCGTAAGAGTGCGTGCTTTTTCACGCAGCATGTTGACATTGGAGTCATTCCTCCTGGTGTCAGAACTTACATGCAGGTATCGTGCAGTCTCTGGTGTGGTTGTAGAGTCTGTACACATGCTTCCTGCACTTGGGGCTGAAGTAGAGTGGACCTGAAAGGGAAGAGAGCGGCCTGTAAGAACGTTTCCAGCTCCACAGCCACCAGCACAAACATCTGTTTTTAAACTGCAGCTATTATGAACGGCCATCATTCAGTTTTTTGTGTTCTTGACTGCCTCGACCATCCTCCCTCTATCCAATAATATCTCTTTCATGAAATGCCTCTGATTTTCTCAGACTCTTGACACCCCAAGCACCAGTGGCACAGATGTTTGCAATGAAGTCTTACCTGTAATATATCTTATGAATTTCTCCTTATTTCTGAAATCTCGGGGGGAAAAGGCTGTGGAGAGAGAGAGAGAAGATAGGAAGGGAGTGTCAGGTTTAACTCATTTTTCAAACTCAAAATATCAAACTTTGATATCCACTGAGAGAAACAAACATAAAATGATATTCTTAGGAAATCATTAAACCATGTAGTTACTTTTGGTTCATTATTTTGTGTCCATGTTGTTTAATGTCTGCCTCCAACCCAATATCTGAATGTCTACAATGCACTTAAGGTAAGTTAGAAGATGTTTTAGGTCATTTTGGGTGCAACAACCCTTTAACTTTAGCCCCATCACCCTAAACTGCCTTTGCCTTATTATTACACATATTCCAGAAGGCTGCATCCTTCATTACAGGCTTACAGCATCCTCTTTAGATCCAGGGTCACGCCCAGACGCCAAGCAGCCACTCACCGACTATGTGATCTCCTCTGTCTGTTTTCAAGTTGCGTAAATCCAGAGAACTCCTCGTCCACAGTGTTATGGGGGCTTCCGTTTTAGCGCTGTGGTGACCCCGGCTGTGCTCAATGTGTTTCATGGTCTCTAGTAAACGCCTCCATTGCTGCTGTGCGTCCCTTCCTCCTCCTCCTCCTCCTCCTCCTCCTCCTGCTGCTGCAGCCGCCGTCAACGCCGTCGTCGTCGTCGTCCACGCCGGAGCCACCGAGGGCGCGCTCTCGCTGCAGTGGCCGGTCAGCGTGCACATCAGGAGCACCAGTCCCATACTGAAGTGCTTGCGCAGTCGGCTCATAGCTCCCGTGAAGTGAGAAGAAGAAGAAGAAGAAGAAGAAGAGGAAAAAAGAAAAAGGAAGAAGTGAACTCCTTCTCCAGCGCCTCTGGGAAAACTTTAACCGGACACCTGCAAGAGAGATCGAGAATGGGATGTCAAGTCCAAGTGCTTCCCATATCATTTACATGAAATGATCCCCATTAAACCCGCTGAGAGCGTGGGGAAGAAGTGTTTTAACTGCTGACTGACAGACCAGACTCTGACTGTGGCTCACGAAGCTGTTCAAATGTATTTCTTGCGGCTTTGCTTCATCTTTGGTTAAAAAAATAAAGAAATTTTAAAAAAGCCCCTTTAAAGTCATTTGACAAGTATAACCTACATCACACGTAACAATCTGCGTTCTCAACCATTTTGAAGTTATTGATTCTCTTTAACTGTAAGTTACACTCACATCATATTCTGGATAAGTTGTCAATTTTCAAGATAAGACCGTTTTTCTCTACAATCAATCTCCAGGCCACCCACAGGTTGTTGTTGTTGTTGTTGTTGTTTAGGCAAGAAATCTACACAACTAAGCTACAGGTGTATTAGTAGCCTCTTTGCCTTGTTGACACGATTGCGGCTTTGTGGTTTTTTTATTTATTTATTTAGAAAATCTCAATGAGATCAAGATTTCCTTTGCGAAAGAGAGTGAAAAACCCTCCACACACCGCCCCAAAGGCACCAAGACATTATAAAAAAGTAACGCGGAGAACAAATGAGTGATAAAAACGTAACTACCTTCAGCCCTCGACAGCTTTCTTTAACACTGTACGACTGCGTTGTGCGCGTCCAGCAATGATGAATATGGAAAATAAAGAACTGTGAGTAACTTTAGTTTATGTTCCCGCTCCTGTGCGCTCCGAAATGAGTCTCCTTAAACGCAGCTCTCGTGTAGGAAACAGCTTCTGGAGTCAAGCGAGTATTCTCCGAGCATCTGTGGTCATCCTCGGAACACCGGCCGACTGCAAGGGAGAGAGTGGACAAACAGCTGAAGGATCCGGTGCTCCAGGTCCCGTGTGCGTCCTCGCTCAAGTAGCAGATCGGTCGTCCTGGAAGTGAGGCTCACTTTTTATTCTGTCTCGCAGACGCTGGTGACCTGTCCCTCGTGGGTTACTCCGCCGTGTCTGTGATGACAATAAGACGCATTATTGGCACTCCAGAAACGGAAAGTCCACTTGAAGTTGACTGACCATCACTCGAACGCCGTGTGAAGTTTTCTGCGCCCCCCCTCCTTTCCGTTACTCCATTTATCTGTGCGATACGCAGTTACAGGAAGCGTTTTTCCCACTAATACTTCCACTGAAATTTCCAATCAGCCCAGTATAGAGCGCAGATACCGGCATCTCAGTGGAAATGCGCCCATATCCTTCTTGTGATTCTCATAACTTCATTTAGAGCCATTGCGCACTTTACACCCATCATGGGAATTGGAATACAATTTACGCACCGTTTAAGGATGATTCTTTGAAAATTAATTACGCACGGTTTTTTAAAACTTATTGCTCTGAAGTTTCTGGTCAGAGCAACCGAGTGCACAGTTGAGCTCCTACAGCGGGTTTCTGCATGTGAGATTAGTTTGCACTAGTCTACTGTGGTTGGTACAGCTTTCTTTAGGTCAGGGCGTGCAATTGGCTTTTCCAGCCCCCCTCAATTCTGACTGACCAGTGAGACTTGAGTAGTTTACCATATTATGAAGACACGTTGAGGGAAATCAGTATGTCTCAAAACTATGAAAATGAAGCATTAATGCAGCTTCAAGTGTAGCATTTAGTCTCATCAAAACAAAAACTTTAAACAATGACTTTAAACTTTGTGACAGCACGTCTGCCTGTCTTGTGTTTCGCCATTATCTGATCATTGCAGGCAATTTGAAACTCGGACAAAACGTCAGTGTTTGCACTGTAAAGTAACTCCTGTGGCCGTGCGTAAAACCTTTGGTGCTGAAAGGACAGCGCGCCCTGTCACCCAACTCCAAACCCTCTTCTCCGAACAGACAAAGCTCTGTATTCTCTCAGGAGAGATGGTTGTGCCTTCCGGTATGATGGCAGACAGGTTTTTCTTTGTCTGAACACTATGCTGATTAATTTTATCAACCAAAAACGATGACAAAAAGTGCGAATGATATCTGGCATCCCTGGTGATTCACACCAGTATGATTTATGATTTTATAGAGAATGGATCCAACTTTTATGAGGAATAATGATGAGACATCTAATAACACTGCACAGCTTTGTGGTTACAAAAAGGGTAATTCCAGTGACTACATTTGTAGGGGGCCTTGTGATTTAGGTGAATTCTGCTGCTGTCTGATGAGCAAAGTGACGTGACTGGTCAGTTTGTGGAGCAGGCACGGTTCTCTGATAAAGTGTGCCACAGGGAGAAATCTGGAGCATAACCTGACCTTTGACATTCACATGGAAGACTAAAGTGGTCATTATCATTATTATATTAAGTCATTATCATTAAGACTAGACTTGAATGTGCACTAAACCCATTATAAGGTGACATGCAGTTGTGATATCCTTTAAATTGAAATTAAAGGTGTATTTAACCATCTATGGCTGTTGATATATGAATTCCCCTCTGACAAGCCACAATTAATTCTGTTAAAAAAAGTAGCATATAATAAATATTTCTTGAATTAACTGAAATATTCTGTAATGGAAGGCAGTGGATTCAGCAGGGGGCATCATTCTGCAATCACTGTACATTCAAATCCTCCCAGTGTTGTTTTTTGTACTGTCTGATGCCTTGTGTGGATAATAACACTTAGCCAGCATTTTGGTCTTTCCTTAAAGATGAGTAAAGTTTAAGGGCCACCACGGCTGAGTAGACCATCCACATGGGTCACTTCCAATCACTGGAGTCTTTAGCAGACAAGCCACAAGTAAGAATACCTTTTATTTATGAATGAATAAAGCAAAAGGGAGGTTGATGCTTTCATAATTGTCAGTATTTGTGGTCTGGCAAGCAGGTGAGTAAAGACAGAGGAATAGCTGCTCTGTGTATTTTGGCACTTCTCTTGTTATTCGGTTCAGTTGGTTGTCTTCATGCTTTTGACTGCTGCTGTAATTTTTTGGAGATCTCTGCCGCACATCATCCTCGCCTCATGTCCACTCTGAAATGTTTGACAACGTGAAGATAACTGCAGAAATTATGACATTACTTGTCAAAATCAGTGTTTGGACAGGCGTATGACCTCGTTTAACCCTGTTTTTATCCATTAGTTTTGTGACCTTCCTAAACTTTGCTGCAGTCACATGTGAAACTATTTTCTCCGATATGTGTAAGTCAATGAGTCATGTTCATATGATTTTTTAGTAAACCACATGTGGTAAACCTCACAGTTGCAGTATGGTGGTCACTGGTTTCAACACAGTGATTGTTTCGTTCTCCTTTCCCTCCTGAACTCTCCGTGATTGTCTTCTGAAAGGCATTTTAATTAATCTTTTGCAAAGAGGATGTGGTAATTTTTCCATGAACGTGCTTCTGTCTTCCTGAATTTCTTGTCCAAGTTGAAAATTTCACTTCCTCAAGGTTATTCAAGAGCACTCTCTCTTTGTCAAAGAGCACGGTCTTCTCTGAAGTTGGTCACTGCAAAGGAGCCCACTTCTGTAATCAAGGATGTTGAAAATATTTTCATTCGTGTGGGTCACATAAACTGACACCGCTGATGGCTTTAGCTTTTAAACTGACTGATAAAATCGTGGGTTGGAAATAACACATTTGAAATTAGGTAATAGGAAATGTGCACTTTCGTTTACTCAAAGGAATTGGTGTTTCACATAAAGTTGACCATGATTTGCATCAACAAAGGCCCAGCTTACAAACTGGTTTGCTTCCATCTTTTTTTCCCTTCAGGCATGAAATGGAATACCTACCACTTATTTCCCACCCAAAAATGACTTATCACTGTCCTGCCACTGGTATCCGTACAAGACATCTCTCCATGTGTTTTTGATGAGAGAAAATCCTCCTAATAGATAAAATAGACTCTTCATTCCTCATTTTATCTTTCACATATCCTTTATCTCTCTCTCCTCTCATACTTTCAGCAGGTGGGTGGTTTTTACTTTACTATACCTTGAGCTGAGTGTGGAGTCTACATTGTTCTGTTCTGTATCACTGCACTTTGTCAGCACAGGTGCTGAATATGGACATTATAGCCATCCATGAAGAAACAGAACTTATAGCTGGATACAGCGGGCAGACGTGTGTCGTTATCAAACAACTGCGAAGAAAAGGAAGTGATTCTGACAGCTCAACAAACCCGCCAAGAGGGTGAGATGATGCAAAATGGGTCGCATCACTCATTGGGTGGAAGCAGTCTTTCACAAAATAATAATTGGTAGAATAACACGTGTGCCGAGCGTCAAATTGAGCAACACATGCTGACTCAAATGACATCACTTGAGGCAAGTTATCAGATTTTGTGCAACTCCCTCTGGAGCCACAAAAGTCTTTTTACAATGTTTTCACATATGCAGTAGTACTTTCCAAGAGCTGTTAACAGACTTTGATGTGCAAAATTGATGCAGTTACCACTGAACATGAGCACACACAGAAAAAAAATCCTGAAACCACAAATTGTAATGAGGCTGGGTTAGTGGAGGGTGGTAAATTGTAAGCAGAAGAAACATTCAGGATCAGCGTGAGCGTTGGAGTAAGCAGAATGAATGAAGGAAGATCATGGATTGTGATTGCATAAAACATGGGTCATGACAGCACAGTTTAAAGACTTCTGTGCCTGCCGGAACTGCAGCAAAGCTCATTTTGGTTTCATTCAACAAGGCGTCTGCTGGTTTTAGAAAGACATTATGAGCACAGTTACATTCTTCTGATCTGACGCCACCACCATCAGCTGAATTACTTTTGCCTGTGTTTTCTAAAACTGTTACAAGTTTAATATTAGGAGGTTACCATATTGTTACCAAAACATTGCTATATTGTTTTGCCAACATGTTCTCCCATTATTACCCTTTGTTTCCCGTCCCTTATTACTCTGTTGCATAAATATCAGTCTAATATTTCCCAAGCATATCCATTGTTAATACCAAGCTATTACCTGGTTAATTATTACTGTGCGTAAGAGAAACTACATTGGCCATGAAACTGGTGAAAACTGTTCAACATGGCGGTTTAACATGGTGGACACCATGGAAGGCGACCCATGGAGATAAAAATGTCTAAAGTAACAAAAGCACAACGTTTTAAATGTTATATACTAGACCTTTAAAGGTGGGGTCAGTCATGGGACCCCCTAACCCCGGAATGAGACTCAACAATCAAATATCTTTCTCCAGAATGACTGACCCTACCTTTAAAGCTCATTACCAAAACATTTTATTATTACTGTAAATTAAAATATACTAGTAATACTTTAAAGACATCCAGCTGCCAGTAAGTTACTGTAAAAGTCACTGCGACCTTTTACATGCATAAAACAGAATAAAGTAGACTGAAACGCCTTCTGTCTGTGTTGGCTGGAAGAGCTCACTTCCAGTGAAGCCATCTAACAAGGTTTTAGTGAAAGATCAACCCTGATAGTGCACCCTGGTAGCTCACAGGGCAGAGCACGTACCATGTGTCCAGCCCAAGGCCCCTTTGCTGCATGTCGTCCCTGCTCTGTTCTCTGTCTCTCTCTACTGACCTGTTAAATAAAGCCAAATGCCAAAAGAAGAATATAAAAGTAGAGATCAGGCCTAATAGCCCATAATTTACGCTAATGATATTTTTCACACCTGTTGCTGTGGTAAAATGCTTTAAACCTGTTAGAAATTGAATATATAAAGTCCTATGTGGTCATTAAAATGTGCTTTAATCTGCCAGTTTGAAAGAAATCTAATGGAGTATGGGACAGATTATTAAATCTGTGTTGTAATTCCATACAGGCGTCTTCAATTATGTTGGCTGATTAGTCCTCTTTTTATGACTATGATGATGCTTGATTGACATTTCCCAGAGAGACAAATGGGACAGAACCAGGAGTTGTAATGAGGGTCATTTAAGACCATCTTAAAAACTGAGACAACAGAGCAAAACAATATGCCAAGTCTGGATGTTCTGAACAGATTTTACATGCACCTGCCAACAAGTGTACTTCACAAGAAAATGACTTCATCTTCAGTGCTGCCTTTACTTGAACAATTTCACCCTGTTTGTCAAAAACATGCACTTTGTATAGTGTTTTTGATATTCACAAAACTTTAAAGCACCATTGCCTTATTTTGTCAAAATGAAAAACGAGTTCTTTTTTTTTCCTCATTGCAAAATTGCAGGTTTTTCGTTGTAGATTCGGCACAGATGAGCCAACAAGAAATGCGTTCCAGGTCCAGCGCTGCAGAATGGAGGCAACACTTGGCACCGAATGGGAAAAATACTAAAAAGAGGAGAAACAGCCTGAATCAGCAGCCGTCTCTGGATGAATAAAGGTTAGAGAAAGACATATCTTTTCAGCAATTTGTGTGGGTGTGCCTTTCACAAATATTGTACATGAATGTGTGAGTGAAAAGAAGAATGTGTACATTGTAAATCATTTTGCTGTGGAAA